AAATGGAAACAACTACATGCTAAGCTTGGGGCTCAAACAAACATAAAATACTGAAACATACCAAAAGCTAGTATAGCTTAGAATCCAATTTAAGGGCACTCAGGAAGGTAACAAATCAACTGAACTCACCAAGCAAATGGTTGTAACTTATAGTAAAATACAGGAAAAGGTAAAAATAACTTAAAACCAAATTTGGGCAAGGAGTGGTCAATTAAACAGGAATTACATAAGGGAAAAGTGCAGTTAAACAGGAATGACAAGGGAAATCGGCAGTCAAAGGAATAATACAATTAACACATTACTAATACAGTTAACACATTACTAACATTACTGACAAATTGCTAAAATTCCAGAAAATAAACAGAACAAACATGGTTTAAGTAGGAAATAAGCCTAAGTGACTCTGTCACAGCATATTAAGTGGGAAAAACCCATTCTTAATCAGCAATTGAAGCATCTAGATTTCTCTTTCCTTTTAATTGTTGTTCCTTTTGTCTTTTATTATTATTATTTTTTTTTTTTTGGTCCAGTTATGCGCGAGCTATTTTCACTGATTTTTCACTCTTTTATATTCAAATTGTAATGTAAGCCCTGATACATAATTTATAACGTACCTGAATATAAATTCAAATGTACAATTGTTAAAAGTTAGTGCAACTGAAGATGACACGAGAATGTCGAAACATGTCTTGTAAATTTAAATTTAAAGTAATCGTTTCTTTATTGAGAGTTATTGTCACTGTGCTGTCATTGCGTCTGAAATCATCAATGTTTAATCATTGCAATTAAAGCATTCTTTGACTTGAAATAAAAAGTGTCCTTTTATTCTTCACTATGCAGCACATTGATGAGATCCCCGATGATCTTAAGCCCCTGTACAAGACAGTTTGGGAAATTTCTCAGAGAACTCTTGTGGACATGGCTGCAGACAGGGGAGCCTTCATTGACCAGAGCCAGTCCTTCAATGTGTTCTTTGCTGAACCTAGTTATCGCAAGCTAACAAGCATGCATTTCTATGGCTGGAAAAAGGTAAGTGTAGTGTATTGTACCGGAAGTGTGAAAAGGTTGTTTGTAGGCATCCCACAATGCCTTGCGAAAGTTGTTGTTGTGGTACTCGTTGGCTGCCATGAGGATAGTGTGTGGATTAAAGTATTGAAATCAAAGAACATCGAAGGTTTTTATTGCCGTATATCCAAATATCACAGTAAATGTTTTTAATTATGGTAACAATACATCAGACATGTACCATTTATACATGACTAGTTTTTTTTTATAATTTTACAAAGCATTAATATTTTTGAGTTGGTTGAATAATAAATTCTTGTAAGCAAGCTTCTCTTAATTTCTTCAGCCTCAAGTGTTGCAACTCCTCTTGGATATTTCCTGACAGAATGTGATATGTGATATGTAGACTTTATTTCAAGAGGGTAGCACATGACAGTAGTTAAACTGATGAATGCTAATTGATGATTAAAAAAACCTCCTCAGCAGTTTGATTTTAATATTATATATGTGAATCAAACCTGACTTAATTACCTTAAAGATCCACCAATTAGTTAATGATGCAGGCAAGATGCTTTATTAATTAAAAATAAAAAAGTAATTGTTCTCCCAAGGGAGGGAAGTGAACAATCTTGTAATTAATTCACTCAATGTATCTTTCAGGGCCTGAAGACTGGAATGTACTACTTGCGTTCACGCCCAGCTGCTAATGCAATCCAGTTTACAGTTGATCAAGAAACTCTCAAGAAGACAACCAAAACCAAAAAGGAGAACACAGAAGTCTTGGCATGCTCTCGAGACAATCCTGATTGCTTAAGCTGCAGTGGATAAATTAAAAACTGCCTTGCCCTTCTTAAGAACTCAACAAAACATCCAAAGATACTTTCCCTTGGGTGTGCTATGGTAACTTTTTTCAAACAATAATGCACTTTCCCATAAATTGCTTCAACTTTCTAGTCTATTTGTGAGAAGCAAGAGCTGTCTCGCTTTGGATTTTGTTATATTGACCCTTTTCCTCCCAAGATCTTTTTAGTAATTCTCTTTACTGTTTGCCATACATTCTTATGATGTAAGTTTGGAGAATTTGGTATTGGATCAACTATTAATCCCCTAATTGTTCTTTTTCTTAATTCTCATCACTTGTCAGCTTGGTATTGTATTGATATTGTAAGGAGAAATTCTGTCTTGGTCACTCAGGGGAGTTTTCAGGGTTAATCATTACTCTTGTCATCATTGCACCAGTTATTTTCTCCTAATTGCAACAACATTAAAGGAAAATGCAGTCAGGAAAAAAAAATCCAAACAGAAATTAACCAGAATACAATTTCCATCCTTTAAATTGCAAGTTAAGTTGATTTAAAATAACCAAAGCAGATCTCCTTTATTTATTCATTTAGTAATTTTTAGGCATATTATACACTATTTATGATTAATGGTAAGAATTTGCATAGTTAATTTCTATTTGGTTTCTTTCCTTGTTTGCATTAAGCTTAGTTCCCTTGAAAATGTCTTTCCATTTACGTATAAAAGAATATCTGTATAATTTAATTTTTTCTATTGTGTGATCAGCAGACAACTGGTTTGATGTGCAAAGTGAGGTAAAGTCGCATCAATTTAAAGAACTATTTTTGTTTTGTTGTGTATATAAGTAATGGACAGTGCTTTGGACACCCACTGAGCTTGCAGGACTCAAGTGTAATTTAAGTAGTTTTTGTGATTGCACAGTAATACGCAAAACATAATGTGTGTATATATCATTGTAAGTTCTTTACATGATTATTGTATTATGATAGTAAATATTATGCCCAGGGAATGTCAAAAATATACAATTAAAACCTTTGCATTCTGTACTTAAAGGTTTTTTTATATAATGATAAGAAGTTGAGTAACAACTTTCTACTAACCGAACGCGGGGGTAGTTCATATTGCCCGTTTTTGTACTTTTCGAACAGACATTAACGTCTCCTACCCCAACCGTGCAGGAGACGGGACCTCCATTTATTCGTCCCTATCCGAGAAGACTAGAATATCTAACCATTTCGTGATGTTATAGAAAGGTAGCAAATTCATGTCAATTATTTTAAGACCCTGAGTGTTGGTCCGGCCGGGGCTCGAACCCTCGACCTCCCGCACAACAGTCCAGCGATCTATCCACTGAACTAACCGGGAGCCGGTCGTTCTGTTGCTGATAATTATAGCTGCCATCTTTGATTTTTATGGCAGCATGAAGGCTTTGTACTAAGTGGGTGGGGGTGAGTAACAGTCAAAGAAGGACGGGGTTGAGGCAATGTCTTTCCCCCACCATCCACTCTAACTCTAGATCAAAAATGGCCGGTTGGATAAACAATCGCGAGCTTTTAACAAGATTAATGCGCCCTAATATAAACTTCCTCATGCAAAAGTTAGCTAGGAAAGAGTACCATATAGCCCCCTACATTAATTATGCATTCCACTTCTTTGTCTTTCACGACAAAACTTTAAAAACAAAGTCTACCAATCTGAATGCATAATTAATGTATGGGGTTATATGGTACTCTTGCCGTGTTGCTACCACAAGTATTTGATTTAAAATTTACTAGCACCGCTATAATGTGTGAGAGTTATCAAATAGATATTGTAGGGAGGGGTAGTAGGGTTAGATCCGGAAAAAAAATTGAAAGATACATTTATTGTAGCTTGCCAGAAGTATGGTGGCCGAGAACTGCCATTAAAAATATTCAAATTTATAGGAATTATTGTTATTTTTTTTTTTTTTAATTTCGATTTATTTCTCATTTTTCTTTTTAAAATAAAAGCAAGTGAAAGTAAAATGTAAAATAGAAATAAAATGAAACCAAAGATAAATGAAATCAAATCAAAACTAAACACTGCTCGGCCGAGGGCTGTCACTAGTTT